ACACTACTAAGGCTTCGTAGTAATGTCACAGTTCGCTTGTGTTTCATTTGTAAAAGCAAAGAATCAGGACTTGGGAAAAGAGTGAGGAAAAGAGTATGTTGACATATAATAAACGAAACCTAGGTTAGTTTCTTATTGCTTCTGAATTAATGCTCCCTCCCACCACTGTCAGATATAAGTACTGAGCCCAACAAAATCAACATTTAATTTTTCATCTTCTACCCCGCAGCTAAGTTTGACATGTCATATACAAAATAAAATCAATAAATATACAGTAATATATCTACATGGTTAAGATAGGGTTTCCTTTCTTTCTTTCTTTCTTTCTTTCTTTCTTTCTTTCTTTCTTTCTTTCGAGACAGGGTTTCTCTGTAGCTTTGGGGCTGTTCTAGAACTAGCCCTTATAGATCAGGCTGGTCTCAAACTCATAGAGATCAGCCTGACCCTGCTTCCCAAGTGCTGGGTTTAAAGGCATGCATCATCACAACCTGGCTTAAGACAGGGCTTTCTAATAAACAGAAAAGGCACTTCTGGTCAATGGAATTGAGACATCAGGTTTAAACTGTTGTTAGCCTAATAATGGGTGATGTGGATGAGAACTACCTAAGACCCATCGTTCTCGGTGGGCGTGCCCACACCCTTCACAATCCCCAGTACCTTTACAGCTTAACTTCTAATTTACGCCCTACAGCAGAGCTCGGGATCCTCAACTTTATTTCATTCGGGATGACAGTGAATTAAAAACTGGGTCAGCAGTTAAGGATGTATATTCTTCATTCAGGGCACCCGGTTTGGGCTCCTAACACACGTATCGAGCAGCGCATAAGCACCCATGATTCCTGCTCAAGGACATTTGATGTCTTCTTCTGATCTCAGTGTGTGCCTACTGCGCAAATGTGGCACACACACACGCATGAAGAAACATAAATACAGGTAAGAAAGAAAGAAAGAAAGAAAGAAAGAAAGAAAGAAAGAAAGAAAGAAAGAAAGAAAGAAAGAAAGAAAGAGACAATGAGAAAGAGAGAGGGAGAGAAATGTTTTAAAAGAAATATTAGTGACACAAAACAATGGAGGAAGACAATATATGAACTGAACTATTGTACAAACATCCCATAATCCCAGTGCTCAAGAGCTGAGACTCAGTGGTGGACGGCTGGCCTTGCCTTGCCTTGCATACGTGAGATCCCAGGTTCGGTCCTCAAGAAGTTCTCAGTGTCTGACCATAATAAATTTCTATTACTTGATTGTGTCCTCCTCTGTGTCTTCGGAGTCCTGACCATACAGCTGTAGGACAAAGAAGAAAGAACTGGAGGAAGCTTTGTAAACGGAAGAACTGTGAACCCGTTCCATCTCCCATTCATTGGCTTGCTGTCCTAAGCACAAAAGGGCTAGAAAAAAGAAAATAGACTCTGTTCATGGATCCCAAGGAGAACAGAGAAACAACCAGCCGGACTGAAAAGCAGTGGCCTGGGCTCACTTCCCACCTAGGTGATTTAATCTAGCAGACAAGCCTTAAGATCAAGAGCTCAAATCTGTGCCAAACTATGATATATTAGTGGTACAGACACTGAGAACAACAATTAATAAATGGGACCTCCTGGAACTGAAAAGCTTCTGTAAGACAAAGGACACTGTTAATAAGACAAAACAGCAACCTACAGAATAGGAAAATATCTTCACCAACCCCACATCGGACAGAGGACTGATATCCAAGAAACTATACACCAAAATACCAATTAATCCAATTTAAAAATGGGGTACAGATCTAAACAGAGAACTCTCAACAGAAAAAAAAACTCAAATGGCCAAAAGACATTTAAGGAATTGCTCAACATCCTTAGTTATTAGGGAAACACAAATCAAAATGATTCTGTAGCACCATATTACACTTGTCAGAGTGGCTAATATCAAAAACACTGACGACAGTTTATGTTGGGGAGGATGCAGAGTAAGGGGAACACTCCTCCATTGCTGGTAGAAGTGCAAACCTGTACAGCCACTTGGGAAATCAATATGGCGGTTTCTCAAAGAACTGGGAATCAACCTACCTCAAGACCCAGCAATACCACTATTAGGCATATACCCAAAAGGTGCCCAATCATATACCACAAGGACACTTGCTCAACTATGTTCATAGCAGCATTATTTGTAATATTTCTAGAACCTGGAAACAACCAAATGCCCCTCAAATGAAGAGTGAATAAAGAAAATGTGTTACATTTACACAATGGAGTATTACTCTGCCATAAGAAAAAAACAGTGACATCATGAAATTTGTAGGCAAATGGATGGAATTAGAAAAAAATCATTCTGAGTGAGGTAACCCAGACCCAGAAAGACAAACACGGTACGTACTCATTCATAAGTGGATATTACCCACAAAGCAAAGGATAACCAGTCTATGATCCACAAGCCCGGAGAAGAGAAGAAAAAGGAGGACCCTAAGGGGGACCTGCATGGAGGGCCCCAGGAAGTGGAAATAGTTAAGAACTATATTCTACATATTTAGCCTTCTGTGCTACATACCTTTGGGAACAATGGCAAATGTCAGCTTTGATAGGGAAAGCCTCAGTTCTGATACAAAATACATAATCATTCTGTAAAAACTGAGGCATTTGAAGCTGGGCAGTGGTGGCGCACGCCTTTAATCCCAGCACTCAGGAGCCAGAGGCAGGCAGATCTCTGTGAGTTCAAGATCAGCCTGGTCTATAAGAGATAGTTCCAGGACAGGCTCCAAAGCTACAGAGAAACCCTGTCTTGAAAACGCAAAAAAAAAAAAAAAAAAAAAATTAACCCAAAAAACAAACAAAAATACCCAACCTGAAGTATTTGATTGCTGGATTGGACTAATTAATAAAACACACTTAACACACCTGGAATAACACACAGACCCAAGGCATCATCATCCGTGCTTTGTACACACACAGAAACTCCCCCACTGAGGTTGACATAAAGGAGAATAAAAGAAGCAATAGAAAGGATGTATACACAAGGAATCGAACCAGTGTTTTGGGATATGCTTGACTACCTCCCTTGATAAGGAATAAGATGAATTCATAAGATTTGCCTGCTCTCAGAGTCAATAATTGTTAGAAAACTGTCAGGGCCAAGACCGATGACATCATGCAGGGCAAATGAAGATCATTTCCTTCTCCATTGATTGGCACTGGGGTTTTGTTTATAGCCCAGCTGCCTGGACCTTGTTGTGAGTAACCAGATATTGCAGGTTGGAGAGAGGTTTTCCATTTGCATCACTGGCCAAGGAGTGAAGCCAACAGGAAGCCCAGCGATTCAGATAACATGTTTTAATTGAAATCAATACCATGGCAAGCAAAGCTGCTTGGTACAGCAGTGTTATGCTCAGATGGGAGATTTTCATGGTCTCTGCCAGTGGCAACTGTTATCAAGAATGAACTAATAACTTCAACCATGACTCACCGTGCTTTCTAGGAGGAAGGGAAAAACTCATTGAACCAGTGAAAGTTTTCAATTAGGAAAAGCAAATTTGCTTTTTGAGGTTTCTATTATGCTTTGGTCTTCAACTCAAGTTCAATTCCGATTTGAGGTTCCATTAACTGGAACACGGTGCTCTTCTGATAACCTTCTCCTCTCTTTCCATTTCCTTTACATCCCAGATCTTATCTGGTTAAAAAAAAAAGGATAATTATGATAACTGATGATGATTCGTAAATACTGAGCATCTTCCAGCAGCTGAGGCATGTACTGAGGAAGGCCAGCAAAACCAGCAGACTTTAGTCATAAAAAACCAAATTGAAAATCAGTGAGGCTTTGCGGGCCACACAGTCTTGATTGTAACCCCATGGTTCTGCTGCTGCAACTAAAAGGGCACATAGACAATACTTATTACTACATGGATAGCAGCTCTGTGTCTTCATAAACTTTTATTTATAAGAACAAAATACCGGTTAAATCTGGTCTACAGGCTCCTGTTGTAGACATTACATGTTTTTACCACATAACCCTGGCTAAGGAAGATGTTACTATTCTTATTTTCCATATAAATCCGTTCATTACAGGCTATTAATGGTGTCAAAATGTATCTAATAACATATGTTTACTATCTAATACCAAAGGAGACTCTGCTTTTCCTACTTTGACATGTCACTGCTATGCCAAAGAGCCAAGCAAGAAAGCCTGTAAAACAGTAAAAGGTTGACCCCAGGTTCTGTTGCAAGTGGTAGCTTAAAAGGTTGCCCAATTCTACCCTCTTGTTGACCCAAAGTTGAATCAAACAATTCAAGGTATGTAAAGAATCAGATACCTAAGACACGCACTATTAAAACCCATAGACTTCTGAAACAAACTCTTCCATGGTTCATGCAGCTTCTGAAGCACACACATGGTTAATAATATTTGAGAATTAGTTCTATTTCTGGCAAATAGCATACTTAGGAAATCCATGTTTGATCCCCACAAGACTAGGGAGTATGTGCATTTCTCTGAAGACTCTTGCACCCAACACAAGGAAGTTTTTAAGAATTATTTGTGTCCTTCCTTATAGAACATGAGTGTAAGAATGTAACCTTCCTGTTCACCTTAAGCAGATTCTCTAGCAGAAGAGAAGATAAATATGAGCAGATATTTCATCTCTCATTGTGCTATTGCTCATAATCAAAAGAGAATTGAAACATGCTATAGTCATGCCAAAAATGGAAGAGTTTAGACAGCATGGCTAACATCTAAGCCACCAAAGTTCATTCTTGGGATTTGAAGGGGATTAAGGGCGTGGATATGTTAGGCAACGATGGAGGTCTCTTTTACGTGGAGTCTTGGTGAGCACACAGAGTTGGGAGAGGGTAACTCATCTGAATGAATAGAAGTCCCTTGGCTTGAAGAGAACATTGAGCAAGAAGAGTCAGAATAATGAAAGAAGAGGTTGGAAAAACACATTAGAGAAGAATAACTTGAGTCATCACAGGAAATAAAAACTAATAAAAGGAAATGCATTTACAAACCAAAGGAAGCCAACAGGGAAAGTAAGTATGTTAGTCTTTAATATAATAGAAAATTTACTCACATGATAGAACAGAGTATATGATCACACAATTATCTTCCGAGTTATTATATTTGTTATTTTGCGTGTGGATTTATATCTGTTGTAATTTAACATAACATATCATTTCTTGGAAGGGGTTATACCTTCATGAGGGTGGAACTGAGCCTTTTGATTTCTGAATACTGACTTTGGAGTGGGTATATGGAAGATATACAATAAACATTTAAAGAAAGAACTAAAGTAACCTTGTCGTTCATATTCAAAAATGAGTATGTTTTTTGCTTGTCCTCTGGTTTAAGTAAATATGGGTTAGCTGTTTGAAAGGCAACTAAGACAAAGACAAGGAAATATTTTATTTTAAAATGCAATAAAACAATCAACATTACTGAGGTTTAGACCCTTGCTCTGGCTTTGGAGTTGATTTGTAGATGAATCAAATAAGCTTAGGTTCTTGTTTTAAATCAGAACCCTTAGAATTTAGTAATATTTAAGAAGTTCATAGAGTTCCCTAATTTTAGTGGCTCTAAATAACCTACTAAAGAGAAAGCAAATCAAGTGCTTGGATCCAAGTAAGTGTTAACTGTGTCTTAGTATTTCTTCTACCCCACCAACAATGCCTACCCGTGTCTGAAGTACCTTGCTCAAGCTGCCTTGTACAGCATTTCATAAGCTGAAACCAATGGATCGTAAAAAAATGTAAAGGTCCAAAACCCTTTTCTTCCTATATCTTAGCAAGTACAGTATAACAACAGAAGGCAAATTTGGGGCTGCAATGGGGAGGGTTTTCATTAGGAATTCTGATATCTACATGAGCTAGTCTTCGGGGTCTAGTCAGAGAGGAATCACTATCTGTATTTTCTAATCATTTGAAGCTAAAGCATGATTTCCTTGCCAAGTAGGCAAAGCATAATCTTCAGAGACACCCTGGCTTCAAAGGAAAAAGATGAAACCCCCAGATGGCGGTTTGTTATTTCCATATGGCACAGAAACGCGCACAGTGTCAATCAGTAAGAAATGGAAGCCTAGAACACAGTGAAACTTCCACAAGAAATGCAGCGTAGATTTTCGTTTCCTTCTTCTTCATTGCTCTGGCTGTTACTGCTTGATTAAATAAACACTTGTTTGGTGGTCGTGCTCATGGCAGCGACAGAGTATCATCCCATCAGTCAGCTCCTGCGACTATTACAAACGACTCCTTCTGAACAGAGTGGCATCCAAAAGCAGAGGTGAAAAATCAAATGACATTTACATAGCAGTGTTTTAGGGATAATTAGTAATCCGACACTTGGCTGGTCAGAGCAAGGTCAACAGAAGGAGTCAGAGAAGCATCGTGTAACCAACTGTTCAATGAGCCATGTGAAATGAGTGTATGGTCCAGGCTCCAGTCTGACCAAGCATTGCTTCCCATAGTCCCAAGTTCAGCAGAGGGTATGGCCGTCAGTTGTCCACAGAATCAAGCATGCAACTCTTACTGGGTAAGAACTCTGTTGTGCCACTTACCCCGGGGGCCAGAGGTCACAGCTCCTTCTAGACAAATGAAGCCATTCAACAAAACTGCCAAAGGATGGCATTTTAACAACACTGCTCTATCCAAATTCTACCAGTTGCTAAAATGTTTCAATTTGAATGATTTTTTTTTCACTTCTTTGCCAACATACTGTTAAAGGGACCTGGAAGAGCCATGCTAATATCAGGCTAAATCAAACTTTGAGTTTAAGCATGGCAAAGACCAGTTCTTTGGTACTCTAGTAGGAAAATGGCCTTCCATGCATGAGGAACACTGGGAAGTGACCTGATCCCCTAGGAATTCCCTGGTTTGGTGGGTGAATCTTCACTGTCTCAGTAGCGATGCTGACATCCCTCCTTCATTTCATTGAATTCATGAGAGCATCATCAACCCTTTTTAACATAGAAACCCTTCTTCTATGTTCGGGGCAAACAAATGTTAAACAAGCAGAGAAGAAGAAAATGTTATGTCCCGTTAGATTAAGATTTGCTGGTCACAATTGCAATTCTGGCACCTTGTCGATATTTAGCTTGATAGATGAGTGTTGCAAGCCTACTGGGTAATCGGCAAGAAGCTTCTCCTCCTCTCCCCCAGGATCCATCTAAATAGGAACCAATATATGAATAATGTGGTGATTAATCACATCAATTTACTGGGTCTGAGATCAGTTAAGAGACTAGCCATTGGATACATCTGTGAAGGATTTTCTCAGTCAATTTAAAGGGGAAAGACACACACTCAAATGAGTGGCACTTTCCAGTGGTGGTCCAGATAAAAAGAAGTCTAAAAAATAAAAGCTGTTGCATCTTTAAAGTTTTAGTTTAGTGTGTGTGTGTGTGTGTGTGTGTGTGTGTGTGTGTGTGCGTGCGCATGCGTGCATGTAGATAGATGCTCATGAGTACAGGTGCCCAGATATCAGAGGAGTCAAACTCCCTTGGAGTTGAGAGCCTAGGCTATAGTGAGAAGCCTGGCATGGGTGCTAAGACTTGAACTTGGGTCCTCTGGAAGACCAGTGCTGAGCCTAACAGCTGAGCCATCTCTACATCTCGAGCTTTTGTTTCTGGCCTGCTTAACTCCTCTTTGCACTACCAAGTTCACCTGCCTTCTCAGCATCCTGTTTGTCCTGCCGTCACTGATGCTGTTCTTCACGGATCTCCAAATCCAGCGTCTCCAGCCTTCCAACGTGGACCAAAGGCCAGTGACTCGAGAATGCTCCAGACCGTCTGTGTCAGGCTGGGACCTCTGAGGCCTTCTGTCCCATAGACTGAGCAGTTACCAGATTCTCAGCCTCTCCAGTACGAAGGCAGCCGTTATTGGACTATCTAGGTCATATCATGGACGCCAACCTAACACATCCTTTTTTTAATTTATGTATTTCTTTATTAATTAATTAAAGATTTCTGTCTCTTCCCCACTGCCACCTCCCCTTTCCCTCCCCCTCCCCCAATCAAGTCCCCCTCCCTTGTCAGCGGACAATGAGGACTACTGAGACCTCAAAAACAATATCAATGGATTTTTGATCCTACTGCACGTATTGGCTTTGTGGGAGTCTAGGCAGTTTGGATGCTCACCTTACTAACACATCCTTCTTAATCATACTCATTCCCTGGGTTCTGAGCCTTCAGGGACCTCCAACTAACACATAACACATACCAAATGCTTCGGGATGGAAGTTGCAAGTTTCTTGTAATTTCAAAGAGTAAATATCATTGTCTTCATGTGCCGTCTGGTAGCTTTGAATCACAACCACTGTAGCAGTTGGAATGTAATTGGCTCCCTTATGCTCACAGGGAGTGGCACTATTAGGAGGTGTGGCCTTCTTGAAGTAGGTGTGGCCTTGTTAGAGGAAGTGTGTCATTGCTGGGGTGGGCTTTGAGGTCTCCAATGCTCAAGCTATGCCGCATTCAGTTCATTTCCCATTGCCTGTAGATCGAGACATAAACACTCAGCTCCTTCTCCACGACTGTGCCTGTTTGTGGGCTGCCATGTTTCCCACCACCATGGGAATGGAGCATTGACAACGTAAGCCACCAAATTAAATGCTCCCTTTATAAAAGCTGCTGTTGTCATGGTGTCTCTTCACAGCAACTGAAATCCCAACTAAGACCACTATTCAAGTCTATTATCTCAATGCCTAAGTGACCTTGGACTACTGTTAGTAATGATTTATATTTAGCTAAAAATTCATTTTTTTAAATGCACATAGCAGGCATACATGATCTGATTTGCTGACTCCTGTTGGAGAATATATAAGGCCACCTAAAAGCTAGACAGAGAATGAGAGGAAGAAACAATGTTTACTAACGATAATCTGATTTGTCCCAGTCATGGCTGTGGGGATAAGAATTATTCACCTTAACTAGACAAAGAAATAGCTTCCCTGTCAGATGATGCTTTTGATTCATGACTTATGCTTCAACTACTTCCAAAAGGAATTTGTAGTAGCCTGCACTAGGAATATACACATGCTGGTTCTCCTTATATAGGGAGATTCCTTCAGCTAATGCCATTTGGGGTAAGACAATTTATAATTGTCGTCAATTATAAATTCATATGAGATGGCAAATCACTTTCCCCTAACAGTTAATATACTGACCAATGCAGCTAGGAGAGGGGGGCTTCTCAGGAAATAAGCAAATAAATCTCAACCTCACAGAGTAACTCCCACGAAGAGAGAACACGAGTTATATTTGGACTTAATATCAGCTTCTAGAAGACAGTTATAGTTATGAAAACTTACTGTTGAAAGCACAGTGTGAAGTTCTGCAAAGTATGCTATATGTTTAGCCTTTTGCTTTTCCTGTGAAGATCCCAGTTCCTTTCTTCAACGATCTGTAATCATGTCATCTGAGGTCGACCTGTGATGTGGGCTGCAAAGAGAGAGGAGACGGCTATGGCGGTGAAAGAGGCCAATGTGTCTATTACCACACATAATTACTTTTGCCGTAAGTATTATAAAAATTAGATATTTAGACTTTTTTATCATACATCTTTGAATATTTGACCACAATTCCCTCTTTTCTCCTGCTATCCCAACATATTCATGGTACCCTCTGTTTTATTCTCTATTTCCCTATATCTGACCTTTTTCTTTTTAGATTCCATTCACAAGGGAAAGGAAACATCTTTCCTTCTCTCTTGCCAGCTTCTTTCACTTCCCTTAACGTGCACTCATTTAATAGTAACGAGTAAGATTAATATATTTAAAGTCGAATAATCTTCCACTGTATTTATATGTGTAGACACACACACTACATTTTATTTGTTAACAGACCCAAATCATATCCATATCTTGACTGTGTGAGTAACTGTGTAAAGTACAGATATTTTTGTGAAGAAATGATACCATTTTGAACCACTTTTCTACAAGGAGTGCTGCAGTCTGCGGAAGTTCCATTTTTAATTTCTTCAATAATACTCATAATGATTTTTTACAACAGCAAAGCCAGTCTGTATCCCACCAATAGTGCAATGCCAATGTCTCTCTTTACATTCATATTAATATTTGTCTCCTCTTGTCTTTTTCATAATAGCCATCTGTTATGGTTATATCTCTTGTCGATTTGACTAAATCCAGAATCACCATGGAGACAAAGATCTCTATGTTACTGGAAGTGGGAAGACCCATACTAACCATGGGCAGAGGCACCCCATGAACTGGGGTCTTGGGCTGAATAAAAAGACATCAGGTATCAGCTTTTATCTCTCTCAACTTCCTGATGGTGGAGACAATGCAGACTGTAACCTCCCCTTCCCACTGCCGAGCCTTCCCCACCATGAAGTGAAGCTGAAAGAAATCCTTCCTCCCTTAAGGGCTTCTTCACTGTTCACGGCAGGGAGAAGAGCGACTCACTCACCTTCCTTCTCTGTGATTTCGCTCAATGATTTTAATTTGCGTTTTTGATGGCTGGTGATATTAAGTACCTTTTCACACATCTATTGGTCAATTTTATATCTTCTTGTGAGAAATGTCTCTTTGAGTCCTTTGACCATTTAAAACTTGAGTTGTTTTTGTTGTTTACTTTTCTGCTATTGAAGTCTAAGACTACAAAAATTGAATATTAGTCCTGTCTTTGGTTGCTAGACAAAAGTACCAGATATTGTGTGACTTATAAAGAATAAAGTTTATTTAGCATACTCTGTCGAAGGCCTCAAAGTCCAAGGTCATGGTGCCAGTCTCTGATGAACACCTTGATTATGAAGTAAAACAGAAAAAATACGATACAGACTCATTTATATAAAACCATAAAATAAAATCTTAAAAAGATGATCCCTGGATAACCATTAATCCATTAAGTCCTACCCTGAAATACCATAAATGTCGGATTTGGGGGAGATTTGCCATGGTCCAGTCATAAAATCTCATCAATGACGTGATTTGCAAGTATGTTTGCCGTGAAGGTCACTTCATCATTCTACTGATTGTTTCCTTTGTTGCAAAGGCGATTTTAAATTTGATGTAGTTTCATTCATTTATTAAAAGGCCAGTGCTTGGCGCAGGAGACTACTTCCTGAGTATAACACCTGTGCTATGTCAGTAGCACAGATACTGTGATTGACAATTAATAAATGGGACCTCCTGGAACTAAGAAGCTTCTGTAAGGGAAAGGACACAGTCAATAAGACAAAACAGCAGCCTACAGAATGGAAAAAGCTCTTCACTGACCCTCCATCTGACAGAGGGATGATCTACAAAATATATAAAGAACTCAAGAAACTACACATCAAACTACTAAATAATCCAATTAAAAAATGGGGTACAGATCTAAACAGAGAACTCTCACCAGAAGAAACTCAAATGGCCAAAAGACATTTAAGGAATTGCTCAATATCTTTAGCCATCAGGGAAACTCGAATCAAAATGACTCTGAGATACCTTCTTACTCCTGTCAGAATGGCCGTGATCAATAACACTGATGACAGCTTATATTGGAGAGGATGCAGAGCAAGGGGAATACTCCTCCAATGCTGGTGGGAGTGCAAACCTGTACAGCCACTTTGGAAATCAATATGATGGTTTCTCAGAGAAACTGGGAATCAACCTGCCTCAAGACCCAGTAATACCACTATTAGGCATATATCCAAAAGATGCCCAATCATATACCACAAGGACACTTACTCAATTATGTTCATAGCAGCATTATTTGTAATAACCAGAACCTTGAAACAACCTAGTTGCCACTCAACTGAAGAATGGACAAGGAAGATGTGGTGTATTTAACAATAGAGTATTACTCAGCTGTAAAATATAATAATCTATCAGGTGGTGGTGTCTCACACATTTATTCCCAGCACTCGGAAGGCAGAGGCAGGCAGATGTCTGTGAGTCTGAGGCCAGCCTGGTCTAAAAGAGCTAGTTCCAGGACATGCTGTCCTGAAAAAAAAAAAAAAACAGTTCTGTAATTGGTATATGGCTCTTCGTATTGACATTTAGTGGGTCAAGGCAGCACTCAAAGATTCTGTCCTTTCTCCTTTATTAGGGCTTTAACTCAAGCAAATCTTTAAATAGTCTATAATTCTCGTTGATTTGGCTAAAAAAAAAAATGAGTATGGCAAAGGAGAGAAGAAGGGAGAGGAGGAGGAGAAGGAGGAAGAGCTCCCATTTGCTGAGTGCTTATGTGGCAACTGGCGACATCATTTAAGAATTTTCTGATACTCCTAAGAGAAGGAACTATGACAGCTCTACTGTCTGGAAACTGTCTGTAAGAGTTAGTGATTTGCTCCGAGCGAGGCCGAGGAGATGGCTCAATTACTTAGGAGCACTTGTTGCTGGTGTTGGTTTTAGAATGTGTATGGGTGTTTTGTCTGCCTGTATGTGTTTTCCTGGTGCCCACGGAAGCCAGAATACGGCGTCAGTTGCCCTGGAACTGGAGTTTTGATGGTTTTGAGCCACAGTGTACGTGCTGGATATTGGAATAAGGTCCTTTGAAAGAGCAGCAGGTGCTCTTAATCTCTGGACCATCTCTCCAGCATAAACTGACTGTTCTTAAAGAGACCCTGAGTTTGGTTCTCAGCACCTATGCAGGAGGCGAACAACTCTCTCTTCTCTCTCTCTCTCTCTCTCTCTCTCTCTCTCTCTCTCTCTCTCTCTCTCTCACACACACACACACACACACACACACACGTAAAAATAAAATAATTACTCAAAATATAATTTTCAGAGGCAGGTGGATCTCAGAGTTCAAGGCCAGCCTGGTCTACAGAGTGAGATCCAGGATAGCCAGGGCTACACAGAGAAACTAGGTTTTGGAAATAAATAAATAAACAAACAAACAAACAATAATTTTTCTCTCAAACTCCAGTCAGTAAGTATCTGAGTTGGGATTCAAAATCACTTCTTAAAATTATCTGTAAATTAGGCTTTAAAGACAAATCACGAGGAGAGGCTTCCTGGTTGCTATGGCAACACTCCCTTGTTTGGTAAATACCAGTGAGGTAGTTATCTCCCTCCTTATAAGTATTTAAAGGATTTCTGGGTCCAGGAAAGGAACACAAGGAGGAAGATGGAACTTTTCACTCTGGCCTGTTCGCCATTTCAAAACGCTGTAGAGCAGCTGGAAATCGGCCCCCGACTTGAGGGCACTTGCTCCTCAGCAGAGAACAGGAATTCGGTTCCCAGCACCCCACCCCGGGGAAGCTCACAACTGCCTGTAACCCCCAGGGAGCTAGCATTTTCTTCTGGGCTCACTGGATGCCTGCCTGTACGTGGCACACACACACACAAATAAATCAATAAACAAAATGGATCATCAAAAAATCTTGTAAAATAATCTACAGAGACTGGGAGCTAGAAGCATTTGCTAAACAAAGAACACGGGGCAACGGAGAGGTGTTTTTAAAGCAGAAACGTAGGCAGCGAGAACAATGTTTTCTGTAGTGAATTTACCTTTACCTATTTTTTTTTGTTCAAATCCAACCACAGCTAAAGCTTAAATATGACTCTTGTCAAGATCTTTTACTGACATAGAGGTAGAATTTGTACAAAACGTCAATGTAAATAAAGATTATTTTTCCCTTTTTATTTCCCTATAGCAAGCTACCCAGCGCACCCCACGGTGGACTTTTCTAATGTTACAAAGCAATGACTCTGTATTCTGTACACATTCCACTGGGGCTATGAGTCAAATGACAAATTGCGCTTTTTATTTCCAAATAAAACCAATCTGGTTTCTCTGACATTACCGCACTGCCATAGTCCTTTCGCGCCGTCTTTACCACAGAGTATCGTGATAAATCTCTTTGTTTCTATGGACCCGAGATAGGAGTCTTCCACAACAAAGGCTGTGATTGTATTAGCAGCACAATGAGTCACCCTATCACTTATATCCTGAATGAATTTGAGATGCATCTGTTGAAATGAAATCCGTGGGCTCCATTTAATGGGTCAAGCGTCTCCAAGGACAGAAAAGGAGGAGGAAGTAGCAATCCAGCTGCTCAGAATGAAAAAACCTTTTGTCCTTGAAAAAAAAAAAATCAGAAAAGCATCATGCAAAATAAATGAACAAATGAACTTTACCTTGGGCAAAAATTACCAGGGATTCGTTAGAATACTGGTCATTCATTAGACTGTGTCCAATCCTCACAGAGACCTAGGAACAATGAATTTTCCTCCGCAATGTGTTTCTCCAATTGTAATGTTCAAACGGTTTCGGGAAATTTCATTAGAGGGAGGAAAAGAAGAATCATAATCCTGACGAGGTACCAAGGGAAAAGGGGGCTAAGCTGTTCCTTAGTGTCAAAAACAAAGCCCAGAAAATGATGACACTGAGCGGGGGCGGGGGGGGGGGGGGGGGGGATCTTCATTCTCAAGAACTGCTCAGGGCAGCTCTGGATAGGATTGGGTGATCAGTGAATTCCTCTGCATGAGGAC